TTAAAGAATATTTTTACCAACAACATCTGAGCTATTAACGTGGATATTTCAAGACTCTCGGGGCGATAGATACGCATTTTTAAAGAATATTTTCTCGAAGACTATCATAGCTGAGATTTGTATTTTTAAAGAGTATAGATTATTTTTTAGGAATATTTTTTTCAACAACATCAGCGGCATCTTGGATTTTTTAAGAAAAAATTCTCCAATCCCATCTGCTGTATAAATATGGACTTTTTAAGCTCATTTTTCCAACACAATGCGGATGTGCTATAATCGTGGATCTTTGAATGTTTTCGGGACCATAGGTTCGGATTTTTAAAGAATATTTTTCCCAATACCATCAGAACAAAAAAATTGGATTTTTTAGGAACATTTTTCAACAATATCAGCAATATTGTGGATTTAAAAAAATATTAGCCACATTTGTGTTATAGACTTTTTTTATTTTATTCGTTCGTATTATACGAACCGATGGAGCTAAAACTTGAAATTTGGTATGCGAATCAAGGCTGGAAATTAAGTTTGATATATATATATATATATATATATATATATATATATATAGTGGGTTATGGAAATAGGGACTAAGTGTGCGAACTATTCTAAATGGTACTAAATTTGGAACAGTTTGGTGGATGGAGCTGAAATTTGTAATAGGATCCCTGCTGGTGGTAGTTTTGTGATAAAGACGTAATTTTGGAAATGTTTTATATTTGGCTGGAAAACCACAAGTGGCTATCGTTAGAGCACTCCAACATTCATATGTGAACAAATCTTTTGAATCTCGTACGATCGTTTGTTACCGTGATACTGGTAGCGACTTAACGAAACCCGCGTCGCAGTGGGCGAAAAATGGCTCGTGAGCTGAAAATATCGCAATATTCCATTCGGCAAATATTGAAAAATAAGCTCGGGGTAAAGCCATTGAAACACCAAAAAGTGCAAGAACTTACACCGCAACACAAAGAAAATAGACTCAAAAGAGCTAAAGAGTTGTTTCGCTTGGCCGAAAGTGGTGAACTGCGAAATTTAGTTTTCCCCGATAAAAAAATATTCGTTGTCCACCCGATTGTAAACAAACAAATTTATCATGTTTACTTGACAAAGAGGTCAGCTCAAAATGTACATCTTCGATTGGCCACCAGAACCCAAGCGCCGGCCATGGTGATGGTGTGGGCCGCCCTAACAGTCGATTATCGCTCTCCTCTCGTATTAATCGACCGTGGCATCAGAATATATGACGAATATTATCGCGAAAATATTCTGGAGGGTGTATTAAAGCCTTGGACACGCAAACATTTTGGCCGCAGACTTTGGACATTCTAACAGGACTCAGCACGCGCACACAAGAATCGTTACGAAATGCGGTTCTTCGCTTCATTTACAACGAACAATGGCCACTAAAATCTCCGGATACCAATCCGTTCCGGACTATTGTGCCTGGAGTATTTTGGAAAGCAAGGTTGGCACTGAAAAATACTAAAGTTTCGATCACCTCAAGCAAGCGCTTCGCCAGGAATGGGCCAAAATTTTGTAGAGCAACATTTGGGCAGCGTGTGACGGTTTCATGGTCGTTTGGAGGCCATAATTCATGCCAAAGGTGACCAATTCGAACAAATCTTATTCTAAAATTTGATGCTATTTCCGACATTTTTTGCTTTTATTCAATAAAATTAAAAAAATGTAAAAACAAGTAAGCAAATGCTACAGTCGAGCGGGGCCGACCGTTGAATACCCTACAACACTATAATAAACGATACAGTTTATATAGGCGCGATACTCGAAAGAATTCCACAAGATATTGTGACAAATAATAAAAGAAAACCATCAGGTTTCGTTCTCTAATTTTCGAATAATAGCAACTTAAACTAATTTGCTCATTTCCAATTTATTTGTAGATGTTGAACGTAAATGGTCTTCCTAGATCTGGAACCAATATTTCCCAAACACCTATAATCTCTCAGAAGTGGCAAAAGATTAACATTTATTATTGGTTTTTGAAACGCATCTATATGAGATACAGACATTTGACTATATTCTTCAGCGAAATCAGCGTTAACGAAATAGTCAGAAGTGCTTCTTTCCTGTATTTGTGAATTCTCCAAAAAGTCACTGGAATGGACATTTTCGTATTTTGTCTACAAAAGTTGGCAAACTCCTTCACACATTGAATATTTTTGGATTGCCATCCAAAACTGCTTGGCTTTTGCAATGTCCGGTAACCCCCATTCAAATGTGCGTGAGGACCGGGCGATAATTACGACCTGCTGACAATTTTGCAGTTTTTGGTCCATTTCAACCCCTAAATATATGGCGATCATCTCCAAAAAGAGTAGGCTTCTATTCTGACCCTCATCTTATCCCCATTCAAAATTTCGTAAGGAACGGGCCATAAATGCGATCTGTATATGATATCCTAATATCCTAACTACTTAGTTTTGTTAGCTGTAGAAATATTATCAAATGTTTAATTCAAAATGAAAATATGCCAAAAATATGACAAAATTGAAAAAAATATGAGAAAATGTTACAAAATCAATGTTTTCATCTTTAGAGAGATATTTTTATGCGACTTTTTTAGACGGGGTTTCTTTCCTGCCAAGAGGCCATTCTGAATTAATGAGAACTGTCGAAATCAGTTCAGCCGTTCTCGACATATACGAGATCTTTCAAGTATAACTTCTTTGATAGACATATATATCGCACATATTTTGCTATATATCCGATTTGTTGGATCTTAACATCAATGTAAAGATCAGAAGTAACCTTGTCATGGCTTTGTGATTTCGCCGGGATTTAAAATATTCGCGGTTTAATGAAAAATTTTGAATATGTTCAACACAAAAGATATGGTATATTTTACCCGCTAAATATTATCCGATGACCACCCAAATTATTAGGCTTCTTCCCCGCCCTAAACTCTAGCTACATGCGAAATTCTGCGTCGAGTGGTCCATAATTGCGACCTGTAGAGCAACTATAAAATCAGGAAATTTTTCAGTTTTTGGTCCATTTCAACCCCTAAATATTATGCGATCATCTCCAAAAGAAATAGGGTTCTATTCTGACCTCAACCCCACTTACATTTTCAATTTTGTGAAGATCGGCCCATAATTGCGACCTGTAGAGTGATTACAAATTAACATGGACAGACGGACAGACGGACGGACGGACATACATAGCTAGATCGACTCAGCTCGGCGAGATAGGAAGATCCATATATACTTTCCTATGTGGGAAATCAATATTTCGTGGTGTTACATAATTTTTGGCCCAATCAAACTTATAATACCCCCAACACATAGTGTTGTAGGGTATAATTATGGAATTTGACTTTGTTGCAGTTTTCTTATCTTACCCTGTACTGAATGGTGCAATATTTGGAAACAGGTGAAGGAATAGGAGAGGAATCCTCAAATTTGATATTGAGATCTCTGATGTAATCTGGAATCGAGATATGGAGGTAGTTTTTGAAATGTGTACTATAATTCTACGAAAAACACTAAATTACTATATTTGTTATTGTCTGTACTATAATGGATAGAACAGTAGTTAGTGGTACTAAATTGGGTATAGGGTTAAGGAATAGAGCTGGAATTTCCAACAGATAGTGATTATCTTTTCAAATCTTGTATCAGAGTTGCTGTCCATGTGTAGTCTTACATATGGAGCTTGTTTCGGAAATGTGTACTATAATTTTTGTAGATGAGTTCTGAATGCTACTACATTTGGTAATGGGTGAAGGGATACAGATAAAATTCTAAAAGAGTTTTGTTTTTTTTTTTTTTTCAAAATCTTGAACTGTATGTGCGATATGTATGTCCGATCTCTACCATCATTATAACAGACCTTACGTTGATGGAAATATTAAGATGTGTCAAATCTTAATGGAATCGTGCGCTAATTTTGTCTTTTATGAGCTTAACGAATATTCAAAATTTTACCCTTTATGGGGGAGGTACTTTAAGGAGTGAACAGATATATTCCATCTTCATACCAGACTTTGGGCTGATAAAAAATATTGTAATGTGTGTAATTTGAGGAGAACCCAATGCTTATTTCAGATTTTATGATCGTTTTGGTTATTCAAAATTTTGATCTGTTTGTGGGGAAGGTACCAGAAGGAATGGTCCGAATGTCTACCATCTTAATAACATATCTTGCGTTGATGGAAATATTGAGATGTGATGTGGAAATATTGAGATTAGAAGCGGCCGTTAGTTCCGTGTTTTGTGGTCTTCGTGAATATTCAAAAGTTTGACACCTTGTGAGGGAGGTACCAGAAGGAGTGGATCGATATATTTCATCTTCACACCAGACCTTGGATTAATAAAAATATTGTGCCGTATGTACTTCGAAGACAATCGGACTTTTACATCACATTTTATAACAGTTATAGTTATTCCAAATTTTGACCCTTTGTGGGGGAGGCACTTGATATTGTACATTTTCGCACCTTACCTAGCACTGATTTTAAAAGTTGGAGCAAAATCGGATTAATCTTTCTCTTTCTGTGCAGTATTTTTTTCCTTGAAAATGTTGACATTTTATGTGGGAGGTATCGGAAGGAGTGCACCAATAATGCCCATCTCCGAACTCAATGTAATATATCACAATTTACCCAGTTTGGATCAAATTGAATACTCCCTTCGTGCGCACCAGCCAGTCAGACAGAGAGGCGGACGGACATCGCTAGATCGATTCCTAATGTCCTGAAATGGATTTGGTCCAAAGAGACCTAGGGTCTAAAAACGTTATTTCGATGAGGCACATTTTGGCCGTATCAAATGATATATACCCTTTGTAGCCATATGGCTAAGAGTATAAACAATTTTGTTAAACAATACGAAGTATTGAGTACTTGCTAGTATTAACCATAAAACCCTTTGTGAATTTCCAAATTTATAGAAGCCATTTCAAATTTGTTAAACCATTTCAAAAACCTCACTTAATTAAATTAATACCTTAATTTAAAATTACCACACACACATACTTACTTATTCTTCGTACTAATTAGTTCATTAAATTCAATTACAGATCATCAAACATTGACATCATGTCAACATCGACATCATCACCATCATCCAGTTGTCGAGATAGCCAGCCACGGAGACAACCCATCAGTCAGCCGTTAAGCAGCAAAACACCCACCGAAAAAAATGTTCAAAAAAAGAGAAAAAAAGTAAAACAAAAATAAGTCAATGGAAAACATGTGGCGCCCAATTAAGAGGTTACATCGATACACTTACTTCGCAGCATACGTTCCCGGTATTCATCGTCCCGCTGCAGGGCTATGCCAGCACCATTCGAGATAGTCGCAATCGGTAAAGGTGTTTCCATTGTGACACTCTGCAAACGGGGAAGAAAGACAGAGACATGCAAATGAAACCACGGAAAGGAAAGAAAGAGGATAAACAAAACAGCATTTTGCGTTACCAAATCATGTCGCTGACATCGCTGAATCTACATAAATACAAATACGAATATGTCTCGCAATACATTTACACGAAAACGCAGACTGTTGGAATTCCAACTAATTTACATAGAATTCCAAAAAGGATTCGAAATGTGAATGACATCTCCATACAGATTGTTTCTACGAGAATTGGAAACACGTGAACGAAAGGGTTTCGAATGTCTCAGCAAATTTAATAAATTTTAGAAATATTTGAAGAAAAACAAGGATTGAATTGATTAGGAGTTTAGGTTAAGGGATAATCTAGTTAAGTTTCACATCGCTTATTACGGGCACCAGTTACCCAGGGATTTTTATGGTAGTAACTAAATTAAATGTTAATTTCTCTTTTAAGGCGAATTTTATAAACTGACATGTGCACTGGAAAGAAAAGCTAAAGATACACCAAAAATAGGGATATATATTGCCTTACCATTCCTTAAATGGTAGTGGAAATATTGTTGACTTCGACACGACTGAGGCAGTACTATTTTACTATCTGCATTTTGCCAACCTTCTAAATGTGTCTCAAAACAATAACGTTTTAGGCCACTTATCCCTTTGGAGGAAAACCATTTCTGGCAATTTGGAGTGTCAACATGAAGTATTTATCAGACTTACATCAAGTTGGTAGATCGTCTATGTATTGCCACTGATTCTAGTACGTTTAAAGTACAAAATATAAAAAAAAAAAAAAAAAAAAAAAACAGGTAAAATAGTGTCAGTCGTTTTTCCCCCTGTCTTGACTTATGATTATTCAAACAGTTGACTCTTTATGGGGGAGGTTCCGAAACAGTTGGCCAATAACTGACCTAAGACTGATATAAATATTAAAACATGACAGATTTGTACTATATGGACTACTTCCTGTAATTTATATGAGGTATGTGCAAATTTTTGGAAAATGTAGATCTATGAATGAGGTAACAGATATAGTGGACTGAAGTATTCAATTTTCATACTTTATCCAATACAGATAAATATATTGGTATGTGCAAAATTTAAAAAAATCGAACATTTATATCCAATTTTATGCGAAATTAAAAATTCCGATAAATTACATATTCATATCAAATTTATGGCTAAGATGTAGCAAGTTCTACAGAATCGTCGAATTGCTTCGCAAGTTATGACAGATATAAGTATAGGAAATTGTGACCCTTTGTGGATGAGGTACCAAAAGGGATTGACAGTTATATGTTATCTTCACAACAGATCTTGTGTTAGCAAAAATGTTTGTATGTGGGAAATTTGAGGAGATGGAGGATGGATTTGGATGCTTTTTCGATTTCTTTGAGCGTTTTGTTCTTCAAAAATCTTGAACCCTAAGTGGGGGAGGTACCAGAAGATATTGTGTGATCTCTACCATCATTATAAAGGATCTTGTGTTGATGGAATTATTGAGATGTACCAAATATCTGAATGAAATCGGACGTTATTTTCGCGTTTTATGAGCTTCATGCATACTCAAAATGTTGATCCTTTGTGGGGGAGTTGCGAGAGGGAATGGACCGATATATCCCATCTTCATACCAGACCTTATGCTAATGAAAGTATTGTGACGTGTGTAACTTAAATAGAACCGAATGCTTATTTTGTTTTTGTTATTCAAAGTTTTAACACTTTGTGGGGGTGGTACCAGAAGGAATGGTCCGATCTCTACCATCTATATAACAGATCTTGTGTTTATGGAAATAATGGCTGTGCCAAGTCTGAATGGAATTTGATATTAATTTTGCGTTGTACGAGCTTCAAGGATATTTAAAGAGTTGACCCTTTGTACGAGAGGTAGCACAAGGAGTGGACATATATATTCCATATTCACCCCAGGCCTTGTGCTGAGTGTAAGTTGACTGTGTGGTGTGCAAGCTGAAGACAATCGGACGCTTATATGACATTTTATAAGAGTTGTAATTATTCAAAATTTTAACCCTTTGTGGGGGAGGTACCAGAAGGAGTGAACCGATATTATCCATTTTCACATCTGACCAAATATTAGGATTTGCAAAGTTGGAGCAAAATCGGATTATCGTTTCTCTAGTCTAGACAGACAAACGGACGGACATCGCTAGATCGACTCCCAATGCCCTGAAACGGATTTGGTCCAAAGAGACCTAGGATCTAGAACAGTTATTTCGACGCTGGAGAAAATTGCGGTGTTTGCAGTTGCTCTATAGGCCACAATTATGTACCAAACATGTAATTGGAGTATGACTGGGCCGAAGCCTACCAATTTGAGCGGCCATCGGACAATATATAGCGGGTAAAATAGACCCTAACTTTTATGTAAGAAAATACGAAATTTTCTAAATCGCGAATATTTTTAGTCCCGTCGAAATCACAAATACATTAAAAGGTCTCTTGTGACCATTAAAGTGATGCTGATAGCCAAAAAATCGGATATATAAGAAAATATGTACAATATATCAGTAAAAGAAATAGATCTTCGAAGCGTATGAAGCGATTTTATCGAAACCCGCGTCGCAGTGGCCAAAAAATTGGTACTGAGGTGAACATATCGCAATATTCCATTCGGCAAATATTGAAAAATGAGCTCGAGGTAGAGCCATTGAAATTCCAAAAAGTGCAGGAACTTATACCGCAACAGAAAGAAAATAGACTCAAAAGAGCTAAAGAGTTGCTTCGCCGGTTTGCTTGGCCAAAAGTGGTGAACTGCAGAATTTGGTTTTCTCCGTCTCCGATGAGAAAATATTCGTTGTCCAGCAGTTTGTAAACAAATAAAATGATCGTGTTTACTTGCCAAAGAGGTCAGCTGAAAATGTGCACCTTCGGTTGGCGCCGGCCATTTTAACAGGACTCAGCACCATCGCACTCAGCACGCTCCACCCACCCTTGCTTCATTTTTAGCACACAATGACCACCAAAATCCCCGGATACCAATCCGTTGGACTATTGTGTCTGGAGTATTTTGGAAAGCAAGGTTGGCACTAAAAAATACCAAAGTGTCGATCACCTCAAGCAAGCGCTTCGCCGGAAATGGGCCAAAATCCCGCACAGCAAAATGCGGGCAGCGTGTGATGGTTTCATTGTCCGTTTGACCAATTCGAATAAATCTAAACTTATTTTAATATTTGACGCTATTTCCAACATGTTTTGCTTTCATTCAATAAAATTTAAAAAAAATGTAAAAATTATGGTTTCTGACTTCGTTGCAGTTTTTTTTTTATCTCACCTTGTACATCTTAGAACTTTGAAAATAATAACAGTGGTTAAATAAGTCCCTGATTTTATTTACAAAACCGAAGATTTGACTTCAACACCCAAAAATATTGTCATTAACTAAAATTATTTCCTTGGAAACTTCATTTTAAAGCTCAAATTTCTCGGCACCCACAACCCACTTTAAATGTAGTACTATATCTTATTCTATCGCGATTTATGATCCAGGAAATCCTAAATATTATAAATAAAATATTTGGAGCCAACATTTCTATCTTATGAAAGGAACATACATACATAACGATAAACATGTGTACCCAACATTTTCTGTGATAACGTTATGGCATGCATGAACAGCATTTGATTCCGGCGCTTTAAGAGAGTCGCATATGCAATTTAATAACGATATCAACATGACTTGCTTGACTTATTCGCCGAACAACATTTCCGTCTGTGTGTTTTTGTGAATTATTTAAATAGCTATGAAATTGTTCTAGGCTATGTGAAGAAGGGTGGGGAGGCAAAGCTTATGGCAGCAACGAAAATTTTCTAAATCAATGCCACAAGGACATGGTAGTTTTTCATTCAAAATTTCCCATGAAAAAGTTGTTTTTTTCGTCTGTCATACACATTTAAGTATGCCATAATTTTTCTTGATTTCCCTATGCTAATAGCAATGCCTATTTTCCAAATTACATGTTGTAAACCTACCCTATGAAATGGGAGAATAAATTGTGAGACTAGAATCAAGCTGTCTGGGTATGTATAAAGTGTTAAATCACACCAAACAATATTAGTCGTACTCTGTATTAAATCTTCATTTTTTTTTTTTCAGAAAAAAAGTTTTACTTGTAGCTCAGTGTTGGGGAATTAAATTAATTTGCACCACAAGTGCCAAGATGTACAGTTGTTTACTTCTCCTGCGAATTATCATGTACAGTGTTAAGTTATTTAGTTTGCAAAGAACAACAAAACCGAACTTTAGACATTGGGGATGTTGTCAATTGCTAGTCATGCACATAATTTGTAGAACAAAATTGTTTATGCAAAATTTACATTGAATTGAATTAAAATGAAAATGTTAGACAGCTTCTTCAAACATTGAAGGCAAGGAATGAAAAAACATGTTCGAAATTAAACACCATACAAATATTTTCGTAAACTCAACATAAATATATATAACAAGTAAGCAAAGACTACGCCGTGCGGGCCGACCATGTGATACCCTACAACACTACTATATGTTGAGAGCCCCCTTATGTTCACATCCATTGTGGAAGATTTCGTTTTTGAAATGATGTAATAGAGCACTGTCCTGATGTAACCTTTAGCTTTTTGACCGAGGGCATTTGCCCAATCTTTAAGTACTCCCTCGTGTTGTTAGGCAGCTAAATATAATCCAATGGTCATCCAAAATGCCCAACACTTCCCTGTCCTTAACTATCTTCTCATGGAAAATTCCGAGCGAAAGTGACTACAAAATTACTAACAAAAAATTAAGTGCATTGGTTCATTTGAAAATTTAAATGTGCATATTTAAAAACAATAGGCTTTAATTCTAACCCTAACCCTATCCTTGCTAAATTTCGGAAGGATGGGAAGATAATTGAGACCTTAATATTATACTCACAACTCATAGTGTTGTAGGGTGTAGAAAAGCTTCACAAAATGTATAATTCAAAACATTAAGATAAATTTAAACAAGTAAAAAACA